GGCATGCGGCGCTGGGGGATCGAACCGCGGTCCCTGATGCCCTGCCAAGCTTGTTCTAAGTAGGTGCTCCAGACCACTGAGCCATCTCTCCAGCCCCAGCTTGCGTTTTTAAAAAAGCTTGTCTATGTGTCCAATGCTTTCACGGTGCCATTTGCCGTGGAAGAGTGAGGAGAAGATGGCATCGTGGATGACCTGAAAGCTGGCTCCCGCCAAGAGCCGGCGCTACAGACTCTGCGAATACTGCTGCCGGCAGCTCCAAGGTGACCATTCTTCAGCGATCCTGCACCGCGTGCCAGGGTGCCGCGGTGCCTGTGCCTCAGAGCTCACAGAGATGAGCCGCGTCCCGCTAACAGGAGCAATCATCCCTAAGCTGGCAACAAGGGCAACTCTCACGCACTTAGCCTCCGCCGCTGCTGGGCTGTGCGGGGAGCTCTCCGTGTGCCCGTGCGCTGAGTACTCCTGCGCCAGCGGGGACGCCACCACTGCCCCATTTTCCAGATGGGGGCCGACGGACGGTTGCACTGGGCAGCAAGCTCAGCCTGGACCAACATTAAGCGGCATGACACCTACACGTGGACTCAGGGTCACTGTGAGAAAAGCCCATGCAACCTGATGGAACAGACTGAGCGACAGCGGGCAGGGAGAGAACGGAGGGGCCAGTGAGAGGGGTCGGGAGGGAGGAAGCCACGAGGAAAACTCCTGGGGGTGGGAAATGTCTGAGTGCTGAAACACCGGACGTGTCTTCCACGCAAAGAACACCACACATCACCTGTGAGCTAATGGGGAGTGACACAGGACGCAGGCCCAGCGCCTAGCACACGGTGAGTGCCTCGGGGACAAACACCAGCTTGATTAGTGCCCGCTACACAGGCATCCAGACACTCTTACCACAGAGAAGCGGAGGGATGACAGGGAGGGAGGCAGGAGTCCAGCGCTGGAAGGTGCCCTGGACAGAGACGAGAGCTGTGGGTTCCACGCCCCGTTCCCGCCACCCTCGGCACTGGGGGTGGCCTGAGGGTTCCTTCTCCGTCAGATGAGACATCTGGGCAGAGCAACATGTGGCCCTGCCTTCCCCGGCAGGCGCAGCCTGAAGCGGCTCCAAGGGCAGGGGACAGGCACCCGTCTGCGCAGTGACACCCCAGCTGCGCACAAGCTTTGCAGCTGCCACTTTGGACTCAGACACACGGCCCTTGGAGCTAAGGCTCTACAGGTGGCCCTGCCTAGGGCCCCGTAGGGGCTCCTCCTCACGTGATGGATAAAGACCAGAGGTGCAGGACAGCTAGGAACTTAGGTGCTCCTAGGACAGACTCAGGGTAGCAAGGTAGGCCCGATTCCTTCACTCTGCCTCTCCAACTTCTGTGTAAGTCAGAGGTAGTATCTAAGCCATGGAGTTGATGTCAGAGTTAAATGCTATTTTTTTTTTCTAAAGTACTTCGTATCTGGCACATATGGCCGTGGGTGCTTAAAGCATTTTGAGGCCGCAGAGACGTACACAGGCCTGCACCGTCTGACCGCAGTGCTGAATGGCTACGTTTCCAGACAGATACGGCTCGGCACACACACTTACACATCCTATATGCATAAACATAAGCACACGTGTGTGTGTGTAATCACGCCAAGCCCCACCATCTGAGGCAGGCTTAAACTATATTACAGGTCTTTGATAGTCTTCCCTTTCAAAGTGGAAGCCTTATTCTCCTCTCCTCGCGGGTGGCTAGGAGGAGCCTGACTCGCTTCGAGGGGCTGAGCAAGGCAGCCACGGTCACACTCATCGCTGGATGCAGAATTTGTGACCAAATCAAAAGTTTGCTAAATGCTTCTGTTTGGGGACCTACTTTTTTTTTCCCAAACAAAAGCATTTGTGAACTGGGGTCCCACTGTACGGAAACCCAGGGTCAGGGCATGCAAATCGTGCAGTCTGGGGCCCGTGCACTGCCTCAGCTCTCTCACTGAGGCAGCAACTGCAGGCTGTGAGGCTCAGTGCGCAGCCCCAAGGAGACGGAAGGAAGCGTGGCCTCCTGCCGCCAGCTGCCTGCGCGCGGGGTGCCGCTTCACCATCCCCTCTGCCTGGGTCAGGCCGCGGGCTGACTACAGTCTGAGCGGCGCCCCACAGAACCCCTGTCCCTGGGGTAGGCTGATCTCAAAGGCCTGACTCACAGAAGCTGTGAGAGCAGAAACACTGATTGTGGAAGGGCAGTGTTTGAGGCAACTTGTCACACAGCAGTGTGTGACACTTACAACATCATGGATCTCGTCCTATCCTGGTCACTAGTCCTGGCTCTGCTATGTGTGGTCTGGAAGAAGTGGCTGCCCCACCAAGCTAGCAAGGGCGTCTTACAGAGTGGATCCCACAGGAGCAGTGAGAGGAGGGGACGGGGGGAGGGGACAGGGAGGAGGCGAGGGCCAAGAGGAATGAGCCCCAGCACAGGAGCAGCTCTTCAGCAGCTCCCTCTGCACGCCAGAGCCTGGCGCTGGCCACGGCACCCCGGTACTTACATCCACCAAGAAATCGAAGATGCGGGAGTGCAGGGCTTTGGCAAGCGCGTCCCTGGTGTAGCAGGCCTGCTCCACGTTGAGTGTCACGTGGATGGACTCCGACTTGCCCCCCCACTTGCTGTCCATCTGCCGGCTCGTCAGCTTCTCTTTCAGCCGGTCCTGGTTTATGCCCAGCAGATACGCGGGAAAAGCCAAAACTGCGGAACAAACAGGATGTCTTTCAGGACTCCCAGAGATGTGGCTGCACCCCCGCGCGTCCAGAGACACGGCGCCACCCTTAATTCCCCTGGCCTCCCCCTCGGGCGGAGGCAGTGACCCTGATGCAGCCACCTACTTTCTTTTTCCCACTGTCCTATTACACATGTCAACTGATTCCTACATCAGGGATTTCCAACCACACGGACCAGCGTCCAAGAAAGGTGGTGGCCAAGCTCTCCCCCGAGAAGACAGAGAAATGCCTGAGACAGCCTGGCAGGACTGCTCAGGAGAATACGGTGGTAGGGGCTCCATATATTTTTTTCTCCTCTTTTGGATGCAAAAGGGATCATTTCTGAAAACTGGAAGTGCCTGCTATGATGGAACTGATAACTACACAACTTTCAGTGAGTATTTACCTCCCACAGGTCACTACAAAGAAAGGGCACACAGTAGGTAAGACATCTTCAAGGCAATCTAGATGAGCTGAAAACACATCTGACCCTCCTAAAGACTGAACACGTGACAGTCACAGTCGGGAGGAGCGTGGTGTGGTCACTGCCCGCCAGGACGATCCAAGGAAGGTAGGTGGGTCCCTGTGCTGGGCCTGAGGGCACCAGGAGGGTTTGCACAGAGGTGGAGGCAGGAGTGGAGCAGGCACAGAGGAAGAGGCAGGCAAGCTGCAGACCACAGTGGACGGAGCTGAAACTGCAGTGCAATTTAAAGCTCAGGGTGGGCTGGAGGCAAGGGCCTAGTGCTGCCTCCTCAGGACGTGAGACAGCCAGGCAGAGGGTAAGGGGACCTGCAGGCCCGCACAGGGTCTACGAGACTTGGGGATATGGGTGGTGGGAGTGGCATGGGGGCGACTGGGGTCAGCCACATCGGGCTTGCTGGTCTACCGGGACACACGGCAGGGTTGTGCGTGGTCTCTTGTAGTGACATGCGGGCTTCCCGGCCTGGGCAACTCGATTTCAGACCCTAAAACCTACCAGAGAAAAGTGGGACTACAGACCGACAAGGCGTTCCCGACTCCTGGTCACAATGTTTTGGCAGGAACACAGGACCCTACTCTTGGCTATGAAAGAATGCTGGGTTTTCCAGTATGAAAGATTCTGAGCTCAAGTCAAAGCTCTGAGCCTGCCGATGCGTCTCCTTTCGCTGTATAAAGCTTTACTGAAGCTCTGGTGAAAGGACTGCGCTAAAGACCCTGCGACAATGCTGAAAACTTGGAAAGGACAATTGGCTTGACCTGCACAGACAGCGCCAGGATGGGAGAGGCTGGCGTTTCTCAGGACAGCGCTTCCGAGGAGAGGCACCCTCCAATGCACTTGGAGAAGCACGCAGCCAGAACGCGACAGCTTACGCTCTCCAGGGGGCTCACGCAGCCGCTCTGCTGATCTGTGAAGAACACCCAACGGGCTCAGGCCTGACCCCCTGTTAGCTTTCACGTCATCCCCGGCCCAGGAAGGCGGTGTGTCTTCTGCTGCACGGCAACTCCCCTTGCACAGCAGAAGGGCAGAAGGAGGGCTGGCGGGAGAGCCAGAGACGCTGGCTACAGTGTCGGTGACCGAAGAGGCTGTTTCCACCAGCATTAGGGAGGCCAGTCTATCACAGGCGCCGCCCACCTTGCTCTGCTTCGTGTCCACTGGACTAAGGGAGTTTTACACAATGAGCAGTCAGCCCCAACTTGGCTAGTTTTGTGAATACGGAATCCTCCCAAATTGCTAACCAGGCCAAAACAGGGGCACAGCTACCTGCTAGAACTGTCTATGTCATGATCTCGGCTAAAAAGTAAAACAGTAGGGCCAAGAGTCCTGGTCAAAAGGAAAGAGATGTGGGGGGCCGAGAAGGAGGGAAAGGCACGCCCATGCGCTCACGCCCACAAATGAGACACTTAGGCCACTAATTTCTCTTCACTTGTCCAAAACAAAGGCTTGTGCTCCTATTGTTTGAACAATTAAGTACCTGCCTCTTGTGCTCAGGAGTAATTTAAAGATGACAATATGCAATGTATTCATCATTGCTATTTTCCTGCTATAGTGCTTTGAAACTGTTTTTCTTTAAAATAAAATTTAAAGAAGAAAAAAAAAAACAAAAAAAACAAACCAAAGCAGACAGGAGAGACTGTCAAAGACACAGCCACACCTCCAGCGGCTGCGCTTCCCCTGCAGAAGGCAGAGCCAAGGGCTGCAGGAAGTCAAAACGCAGGGACACTGGCCAGCAAACAGAGCCCCACACAGGGGAACAGCTAGCCAGCCAGAGAGGAGGCGGCATGTGGGTGGGGGAAGCTCCATGCCACAGTTTGCAACCACCAGCTTTTAGGGCCTCATATATTCTTGCGGCTGCCCTGGTGCAGAAATTATAGGGCTGCTTGGAGGTCTTCCTTCAGGCTGTGCATATCCATGAGTGTGCACCGCAGCCCGCAGCCGGTAAGAGCACTGACGCAGGCCCTGGTGGTCAGGGGAAGCTGAGGAGGGAGGAGATGCTCAATTTAAAAATGGGGGAAAAAATGGGGGTGTGACTGTGGTCTAGGGATCGAGAGCCGTATAAAACAACCCACTAAAAAGTAATGTTGCAGCATGTCTGACGAAGACAGGCTTGTGCTACGGCACTAAATGAGGGCGAAGTTAGGTTTAATTTTTCCATTCGTATCTGAACTGCAGGGAAGACAGGAAAACCAAGAAGGTACAGCAACTGAAAGGGCCTTGCTTATGGTCTAAGAACAAATGGCAAGGTATTCACGGCTCATCTGTGCATCCCCCAAGTGTGGGGCAAAGAAAGGGACCGGCTTTTTGTGCATTTTCTTCTTCTTTATTATTAAAATTGCCTCGTTTCCTTCAATGGCCTTTTTATTTTGGATGTCATTATGTTTATGATCATTAATTTTATATCTCTGATATTACTTAATACCTTTCAAGCAAAACTGCTCTCCCAAAGCATGTCCCTTTATCATACTGAGACCAGCCACACAAATGTCTACATTGAAACCTGACTGCCTTCTCAGCAACATAAAAGACTGGCTCACAACATCCTTTATTTCTCCGTTAGTTAAATAAATGCCTATTTTACTTAAAAGGCTAGCTGTCCTACTTAAGATAGCCAAAGCAAGGTGCTTTCTTTGATCATCAACAATGCGGGCAGCCCTGCCCTCTACACACACACTCCACTCAAAATGAGCAAGATGACACAGCCCAGGTCATCCATCTCCACAGTGGTCATTTAGAACACCAGAGGGCCAGAATCTTCTAGACACTTGGCAACAAAGGGAAATGTTTAAAAAAAAAAAAAGAAATCAGGGCTGGGGAGATAGCTCAGCGGAGTAAGTGCTTGCCTGGCAAGCACAAGGTCCTGAGTTTGATCCCTGGTACCACAAAAAAACCAAACCAAAACAAACAAACAAAAAAACCAGAGGCAGCCAAGCAATGGAAAGCTACGGACCTGAAAGACTGGAGCATCTTTAGGAACTGACAGAAAACCGTCGAGCTGCGACCCTGCATGAGGGAGCAACTGCGGGACACCATGTCACAGCTCTCCTCCCACAAATGCTGGGAAAGAGCAGGAAAGAATGGGTTGATTGGAACATGCAGCCCCGCTGCTGGGAGACAAAAGAAAGGACCTGCAGGGGCCACCCATCACGACCATCTTAACCCACAGGGCAAGTGAACAGAAATCAGAACTGGCAAAAGCAAACCCCTCGCAGCAGCAGATTCCACAAGGCCTGCATGGCTTCCAGCCCAGCCCCGCTGCTGGACACTTCCACCACCTCTGGCTGGGCACTCCCCAAGCTGTTGCCAGTCTGGGCCTTAACCATCCTGCAGCAGTGGCTGCCGGCCCCAGACATCGGAGCAGGGGCATGCCTGCTGGTGCACCATGACTGTGCTCAGGCACACACACGATGGAGGCTTTGTCGCCTGACAGGCAAGAGGCACCCGGCCTAATTCCACAGACACTACACACCCGAAGGTTCCCGAGCCACTAACGCTGGCTATGTGTGAGTAGTTCTACTGGACACTGAGTGGACTTGCTAACGGTCAAGGCCAAAGTCCACAGTCTGCAAACACTACCTTACTGTGGTCGCTAGGCCATGTTTCTAGGCATTGCAGATACCTTACATATTTATTGTTTTCTACCCCCTTTCCCTGGTCAGCGTAATTTGTCTTTATCAGAGAGATGTGAAGCGCTAACAGAACTTCCTTCTTTTATGAGAAAAGAAAACAAAAAAACATTAAAAAGGGTCCTTATTTGGAATGGAAATGTTCCCAGTGCACTGTCAGCAATGAGCGGGATACTATTTATTACTGAGCCTGTAAATCTGTCATCCCTGAAGAATGCTGAGACAGGAAGAGATGCCTTCCTGGGTGGTTAGGGGATGTGTGGGCTCCGAGAACTGCCTGGAAAGCCGCCCCTGCTTGGGAGCCGGAGTCATGCGTCGTGGTGCTTGTGGTAGATCTCGGCGGGCACAGGGCACTGCCCGTTTCTGCCAGCAGGAAGTGCGCACTCAGGTCTTGAGGTGCTGAACTGACGTCATTAAGGGCAACATGGCTGCACAGTTCAAGCCCGCTTTTCTCTGTGCTCAGAAATCTCGTCTGACCCACCCGTGGGGCAAAGTGAAAGCCATGAGCTTTCCCCATAGACGGATACTCTACTGCTTGCTTTAGAACCCTTAGGAAAATGCAGACCATGCACAGAGAGGCCAGCCACGGGGAAGGATTCATTCAGAATCCTTTAAACCGTTATTTTTCATCACTGCGTTTTTGTCTTTCAACCTCAACATGTAATCCTGCCAGGGCATGTAAGGCGGGCCATGGCATGGTGAGGGGCAGGAGCACAGAAAAGGTGCCTCCTTTCCTAAGGCCACGTTGCTGTGCCACACGGGACACGCGAGACTCTACCTCTGCCCAACACCCCCACGGAGATCCAGGCTGGGCCATGCGCTGGCTGGGGCATCTCCCTCATGCCCACCCCCACCAGGGCCCCTCTACGCACACTCTTCGCTCTCCACGGCCGCATAGTTGCCCACTTCCTTGAAGCTGATGTTGCCCAGGTGGAGAATCCCGGCCACAATCTGCAGCACCAGCGTCTGCTCTTCTGCGAAGATGCCGATCACATTCATGGCGTGCTGGAACAGAGAGGCAGGTTTCCACACAAGGGCCAGCGGCCTCACAGCTCGCAGGAGGACGCTAGAGCACAGGCGGAGCTGGAGTCACGGGTGCGCGGCGTGCTCTGCATGATGGCGGGAAGCGTCTGCGCGGTGTGGTCACTGACCACTGTGCCGTTAGAAAGCAGAGCCTCTGAGGTCCACTAAATTTGATAAAAGCAGCTTGGAGATCTCTATCCTGAGGAAGGACGGAGGTGCCTGGACCAGCGCACAGGGCGCTTACGCACACTCAGGCTTTCCTTGTGCCTTTAAGGAGGAGCAGTCTGAACATCCTGTCCCTTGACGTCACAAACATCAGCTCCCTTCATGGTGACAGGTCCTCCTCAGACCTGGGCCTGGCAGAGGAAGGGCTGGGAGGTGGCTCCCCCAGAGGACTGTGGGAACAATGTGCATGCCGTTACCTGACTAGCTACATGGTCTGTAGAGGGCGTGCGTGACGTGAGAACAGCACAAAGCAAGAGGATTGTCCTCTAACCTGGAAGTATCCAGGTGCAAAGAAGCAAAGAGAGAATGGGGGGGGGGGGAAGACTCAAGTGTTCCCAAATTTCTACAGCCGATTAAAAGGATGTGTGTGCCTATTACCTCGGTCACTTCGGAGGCAGAGGCAAGAGGATCGAAAATTCGAGTCCAGCCTGAGCACCTCAGGGACCCCTGCCTGGCCCAGAGCTGGCACTTACCAGGGTTTCCTGGAAGTCCCGCTTGTCATCGATGTCGTCTACCTTGTAGGAGCCCGAGAGGCTCAGGTAGTAGTAATAGTCCATGCTGGTGACGCCCAGGCTGTGCTTCTGCTCTGCAGAGGCACCCTCGATCAGCTGCAGCCAGAGAACACGTGTGAGCCTGACCTGGAGCGCCCTCGGCCGCCGCCGCCGCCGCCGCACCTGTGCCTAGGCGGGGAGGGCTTCTCAGCCCTGCGTTCTAAACTCATGAGTGGGCCCAGGCTCCAAATAAAGGAAGTGGCTGTGAACGTCCACATACTTCACACCATCTCTGCAGCTTTGGCTTCTCATGAGACCTAAGGTGTTCTCCTGTCCGGGGACAGGAGGTGACCTGCGACCGCTCTGCAGAGAAAGCACCATGCTGCTCCCTTTTGCCCAGCTCAGTCGTGGCTTCTCAGGGAGCTGGCTGCTCCCTGCGCCTCGCCATGGGGTGCATGCAACTGCTCTGGGTCCTGCACTCTGGTGCCAGGAAGCCTCCTGGTCTCTGCCTGTCCCCTGACTTTCAGTTTTAGTCTGCCTCCTGCCTCAGGCCTGGACAAGACCCTCCGGAAGGGTTCTGGCCAGCGGTGTGCTGGAAAAGGTTCCCAAGCCAACCCTGGGAGGAAGGAGCTGGTCTGCCGGGGCCCAGGGTGTGAATCCGCCCACCAGGTCTAACCCCAAGAGAACGCTGCCGAGAGGCTAGGAGGGACACACTCGGCCCCTGAAGGACGACTCCAGCACGCCAAGGCCCTGACCCAGCAATATTTAGCGAAACAGGGTCAGTCCTGAGCCCAGCTTCCCCAGTGCCCAGGTCCTCCTCCCTGCCTGGACCCCTGCCCGGACAGGAGGCCACATCTGCACTACTGGGAAGTTCTAGGTCACCCTGGGACATCCCTTGCCTTTCTCCCTTTCGACACAAAACCACTCAGCACCACTCCTTCGTTTCCTTTGTCTGAAGAACGTTCCTTCTGCACACAGTCCCTCTCCCTCGCGTTTTCACTTCTCTCCAGCTCTTCTACGTACAGCCACACTGCTGCCTCCTGCCTCTGCTGGAAGCTCATCTTTGAGCTCTTTGAGCTGCGCCATCTACTTCCTCACGGTTCAGCCACCTGCATTCACCTTCTCCTCTCCCTAGGCGCCAACGTCTAGCTCCAGTGGCTTGCTCTTTGCCAGGGTCCCAGCCACCAGCCACCAGCCACCCTTTGTCCATGAGCCTGGAGTGTCTGGTTCAGTCCTGAGGCTGCCCCGGGCTCTGGGACAGGGCAGGATGCAGAGCTCCCTTCTCACAGGCCATTCCTGCTCTTCATCCTGCACAAGCAGGCGGCCCGCCCCGACCCCGCCCCGGCCCCCAGGCCCAGCCCCAGCCCCCCAGGCCCCGCCCCGGCCCCCAGGCCCCGCCCCGGCCCCGCCTCTTGTCTGTCTTGCAGCTTCCACCATCTCTTTCACGCCAGAGTCTTGCACTGCGGGTCCCTGACCTACAAGTCTAGGACTCCTAGAGGGCACGGAGGGCCCTGCCACCCACGGGATGCTTCTGTCTGGTGTTCTGTAAGTATTATGTGATACACACAGCTTATTTCATTCACTTGTATATCTGCTTTGACTGAAACAACTTAAAGCACTGCAGGATTCGCAGAACCTTTTGGCCTGCGTGCACTTTTCAGCCACCGGCTGTCAACTACAAGAGTGGCCTGGCGCTGTCGCAGAAGTCTGCACAGACTCACGGTGAGCTGCTGCCACACTGCAACTTCTTTTAATCCAGTAGCTTTTGAACTGGAAGCCGAGCCAAGCGGAAACAGTCACCTGACCAACCCTGAAGAAAATTCTAACATGGATCCCTGATAAGAAAATACTCATCAATAAACCTACACATTAAACATCTGAATACGGCTTTTTTTTTTTAAGCATACGTACAATACTTTTCAGACAGAAGGGATGGCTGCTGTAGCCTGGCACATACCTCTGAGGCATCCCGCACACTGTAGCACCCTAAACTCTCCGTGGCTTCCAAGTGGACACTTGCTGGGCTGGTGCTAAAGACCGCAAGCCCACGGTGGCGAGCCACGGCCTGCGAGCCACAGCGGGCTCTGAAAGGCTCGCCAGTGCTGCCCTGAGCTGCGCCTGCCCTCCTCCCTCTGGCTGCCCGTCCATGCCGGCGTGCGCTGTGGTCTGGACCCCGACCACTGTGTGTCATCCACTGCCAGGAGTGCACCCTCCTTAGCACCACTCCTTCCTGAACACCCAGCCCTGGTCTCCCCACGTGAATTCCCACTTGGCAAAGACTCTCTGCTCCTTTTGTTCTGAAGTAATGTCTCAACTACATAACTTGTGGGGGACCAGTTACTCTAATAAGAAGATATTCCCCTCCAGTGTAGGAACCGTCTCATGCTGTCTGCACGGTGACTTGCCCTGGCATGATGGCAAGCCCTCCTTGGCTTGGTAGAGCACAATGCCTAAAACAGCATTTAAAAACACTATGGAGGGGCTAGGGAGATAGCTCGGCTGTCTAAGCACCTGCCTGGCAAGTGCAAGGACCTAGGTTTGATCCCTGGTACTGCATGCTGTGCCGGCCCCGGAATCCTAGGTGCGCTCTGCTGGCTCTGAAACTGGGCATGGTGGCACATGCCTGTAATCGCAGGGCTAGGGAGGTTGAGATAGGAGGAACACTACAAATCTGAGCTGCATAGTGAGACCCTTTACCAATTAATTAATTAAAAATATTAAAAAATATGGAGAAGTAATATCAAGAAGGAAAGAAAAAATATAAAGGAAAACCTGGTAGAAGATGTGGAAACTCCGCTCCCCAGGGTTCCGCATCACCACCCTGGACTTCTCCAGAAGGAAGTTGGAGATCTTTCCACCATCTGGCTCTCCACCTGGGCTGAACTGGATTTCAAAGTATTTTCCCTGCAAGAAAGTTAGGGAGATGTGAGCGGCTGGTAAACAAAAACAACGGGCCCAGCTGCCTTTGAATAGAGCGGAGAATTCAAGGAAGCTCATCAATGAAATACATTTGGAGTTACTCCTGATTCTGGGCCAGACTTCCTCATTTTTTTTTTTCCTATCAAACAATAACCCAAGCTTCCGTGGAGCCCGTGATTTCGTACCGAGACACCCAGTTCCTCCAGCTGCACTAAATAGGCCCAATACGCCCTGTGCTGTTTCTCGGTTGCTCCCTCTGAGAGGAGGCGCTGAGCAGAAGGCGTGAAGCCTGCCACAGAGTTCCCAGGTGCCCCCAGGAGTTCTGGGACTGTATACCCCCGAAGGGGACGCAAATTGCCCTCCAGGAGGACTTGTCTCAAGGTGGTTTTGTTTTGTTTGTTTGGTTTTGTTGCGGTAAGAGTGACTGAACTCAGGACCCTGCGCTCACCAGGCAGGTATTTATTCTACTGAGCTGAGCTAAAGTGGTCAGTTTCTTCTACCCCTGAACAACTAAAATGCTCATCTGAAACAAAAACACTTTCTGGTGAGTCAGGTCACAGCAGCTCCTCGTGGGCCCGGGGCTGGCTTACTGCCACGACTGTGCTGCTGGGAGGAGCAGAGCCCTGGCTCGAGCAGGAAAAGGCACCCAGAGGTGCACCGACGCCCACTGCACTTCCTCCCCAGAACCTGGTCCTTCCTAGGGCTCAGAAACGCAGGCTTTGTCAAGACCCAGGAAGGCGTATGTGAATGATGAAAACCTTGTTGGGGAGGCGTGGGGCCTTGCCAACCCCACCCCCGGGTATGCTGAGCCAGCAACAGAGCCCGGGCGTGATGGCGCACGCCTGTGATCCCCACTGGGGAGGCTAAAGACAGGAGGATCACTACGAGTCCAAGTGAGACCCTGTGCAAAATACATAAATTTTAAAAATGTATAAAGTAAAATAAAAATGGGACGACACTGTAAATATTGTATTATAGCCTTTTCAAAAATCTTACTACTACATTACAGATATCTTAAGTTGTTATTCAACAAGACCCTTGGAGAATTTATACAAAAAGTATGGTTGGGTCAAAGACATTGACCACTTTAAATTTTAATGAAAATACCCAGCACAACACCAGCGGCAGGGTTGACACTGAGCCCTGGGCCTGACCTCAGGAATCCCCACCCTTACTCTCCAAAAACTGTCCAATTGCTCTTCTGGGAAAATGTGTGTCTTTAATCAGTAGCACCTTAGATTATCAGTCTCCTTCAGGTTTGCCCATGACAGACAGAAAATGATATATTGTTAAAAGTCGCATTTCTGTCATTTTATGCCATTAGATGTGACAGAGAGAGAGAGAGAGAGAGAGAGAGAGAGAGAGAGAGAGAGAGAGAGAGAATGCCTGTGTGTACTGTTTTCCTACCTTTCCACTAGTGTTGTATGAAATCTTATAATCAGATAAATAATAAATGCTGGGGTTTTCAGTATTTATAGAAAATTGACTTAAGTATCCTCTAAGGATAAAGAACAATTTATTTGGTAAACTTTCTGCTCTTCAAGGAAGGTACAGAGGCAGGCAGCTGGAGGGTTAAACGTGTAGAGTCTATTTTTACCAGGTAGATTTATAATGACAATTAGGAAAAAGGTCAAGTGGAAAATGAGCCTACATTTTTGCTCTTATTTCACTGCCTAGAAACTTCCAGATAAAACACCCTAGGCACTGAACTGAGAAGTGTGAGCCGAACAAATGAATAAATAATCCCTGCCACCCGGGAACAAGGAGTGTGAGGTGGGTGTGGCCACGGCCACCTGGCTGGGGCTGGCCATCCGCATGCACAGGAGCGGACGCCTTTAGGCCTTTAGGACGGACTCGCTTCCAAAACAAAGAGTGAAAGGTAAAAAGTTTTCCCCTGAAATTCCTATTTTTTACAAACAGCGAGCCCAGCCTCACGGATGGCTTCCTGTGTGCGGTGGTGCCGACACAAGCTGTGGTAGTGGGATGCGAAGGCTAGCGACGCCCCAGCTACTGGCCAAGCACTTGTTTCTCCAGAAGTCTGGCTTCTTCGTCAGGGGACCACTTTCATACTCATCCTCGCCTGTTTTCTAATCCGCATGCCAGGAGGCACGAGGCAGAAAACGGGTGAGACGGCACTCGGAGCACCGCGCTCCCCTGTCCCTTGGGTGGGTCGGTGGGTGGCAAGGTCCTGTGGGCTCGGGTGCTGTCACCTGGGGCAATGAGTGTGCACAAAGGTGGCGCACGGTGCGGGGTCAGGGCTGTCCCAGGGCCCATCTGATGGGCGTCTGGCACCTGTGCTGCCTGCCATGCAGGCTCCGAGGGTCCTGATGGTCACTAGACAGCGCCCACCCTGGGACACGGTGTTGGCCCCTGTCTGTGCCTCTGCTCCTGGGAACAGCCAAGGGCAGAGGGCCCACACTGCCGCCCCTAGCACTCTGTGCCTCACTCAGGGGGCATACTTGTGTGCACCTGGCTCCAAATGACTCAGCAGAGGACAGAGGAAGAGCGGGTCACACTGTGGGAAAATGAGCACTGGCCAGAGGCCCCCCTCCCAACTACTGGGGAGCTGGGCCCAGGTCCTCTGGAGCGCAGAGGCCCGGCAACCCAGGAGCAGACTTACAAATCGGCTGGAGTTGTTGTTGCGGACGGTCTTGGCATTCCCGAAGGCCTCCAGCAGCGGGTTGGACTGCAGGATGATGTCCTTCACATGCTGTGGCAGCAAAGATGGGTCAGAAGGCATGGACACCCCTCCCCAGGGTCCTGCTCCCCACCTGGGAGGGCTACACCCCGCAAGTATCCTGGGGGCCTGGAAGAATTGGTTCTTCACAGCTGCAGACAGGGCTGTGTGACGGGGTCTCCCACGTGCCCTGGCTTGATTTGGGACCCCTGGGCCAGTGTGCCATCAGCAGAGCCAGCCGTGGAGGTGCACACCTGTGACCCCAGCACTCCCAGAGGCTGAGGCAGGAGGATCCCGAGTGTGAGCCTGGCCTGGGCTCCCTAGGGATTCACTGAGATTCAGTCTTGCAATAAAACAAAAAAAAGCTGGGCATTTTAGCCCTATGTGAAGGTCCTAGGTTTGATCCCCAGGACAAAAGAAAACAGAAGTGCCCAGCCTAGGTCTCTACCCTGTACCTCTGTGTGCCTGGGAGCATGGCGGTCACATCAAGGGAAAGGATCTCTTAGCTACTTTTCTATCCTTCCTGAGACCAAACACCCAACCCCCAAAGTTAAAGGGGGAAGGTGCATCCAGCTCATAGTTTGTAGAGGGGTCAGTGCATAACTGGCTGGCTCCAGGGCAGGTTGCTGGGCATAGGGGCGAACCAGAGGGGGCACAGCCCACGGCGGGCAGAAGGCGGCAAAGCAAGCAAGAGGTAAACAAACCTCTTTCTATCCCTCACATGGTGTCCAGGCTACCAGACTCGGGAGGCACCGAGCCAATCGCTGGACCGACTTAGCGATCGTGCACCCATAGTCCCAGCACTGCACCACGAAGCAGCCACAGCTCTAGACCCAGCCACATCCGAAAAAGCCCGACGTATTACGACACGAGGCTTTGGGGGGACATCTGGACAGAAGCCACAGCGAGGAGCAGCACCAAGGGCTGCTCCTGCTGTTCTCCCCGGAGCTGCCACTGTCACTACAGGTCCACAGCATCCCCCGCTGTGCCACAAACAGGAGTTACCATGTGGGAGATCAGTCCGCTCTCCAGCCCCCCAAACAAGGCCAGGGAAGTATAACTGGGTACTTGTCCAACATCAGCGCACCTGAGTCACCTGGGGACGTTGTGCAAATGCAGATGTGGATTTAGGGCCTGAGGTGGGGCCCAAGAATCCTTATTTCTAACCCGTTCCCTTGTGGCGCTGGTTGTACCAACACGGTCTACTCCAGGAGCACAGGGGGACTGCAGAGGGAGCGTTTGGTTTCCAGGCACTGTTATTCTGGTTTTTGGGGGATTTTTTGGTTGTACCAGGGATTGAACTCAAAGACCTTGTGCTTGCCAGGCAGGTGCTTATGCTGCTGAGCTATCTCCCCGGCCCCATTCTGTGCTGGCCCTAAAAGTGTGCAAAGCACACGGCAGCCACAGGCAGCGCACACGCTAGCGCTCGAGGCCGGGTGCTCCTCCCGCAGTGAGTCAGCCTGTGCTCCTAACGATTCACATGCTATGCTCACAGGCTCCAGAAATAACAAGCTATCTGGCGGGCGCTCCTGAGCTACTGACTAATTCGAAGCCAAGAGCTTTGTATGACTGTCCTCAAAGGAAAACAGGAAGAGAAGAGTCGACATTAACTGTGTGCAGTCTGCCTACCAGGCCACAGGCGACAGCAGACGGGGCTGGGGGTGGCACAGACCCACCATGCATGGAGGGGCCGCCCCTCCTCGGGCAAGGGTTGGGTCCGTCCACACGTCACATGGGCTTCCTGCTGCTCTTCTCTGCATAAACCTTGCTCTTCTTTGTCAAATGACTTTTTGGATTCCTCACTAAGATCCTTTGTATCTTTTTTCTACTGGCCAGATGTGCCCAGACTTCCCAAGTGTCTCTTAGGGATTGTCCCCCCACCCCCTCCCGGGAACGGGGGATTGAACTCAGGCCCTTGCACTTGCCAGGGAAGTGCTTATTCTACTGAACCATATCCCCAGCCTCCCAAGTGTCTCTTAGGAAGAGATGCTCTTGTAACCCTTCCCTTTCCTCGTCCTATTATTATTCTTGGCAGTATCTAGGATTGAACTCAGGGCCTTTACACTGACCTACATTAAAGACTTTTAAACATTGTTACATTTGAGACAGGGCTTACTAAACTGTGGAGTTGCTCAGACTGGTCTCAAACTTTTGATTTGAGTGCTTCGGCTTCCTACAGTGCTGGGATGACAAGTGTCCAGCACCACGCTGAGCTTTCTGCTTCTCTAATAAAACTCTCCCATCCACTGGGCCATGACAGAGCGCTATATAATAGCAGACAGATCCAAAACAGAAAGCATCTTAAGATGCCTTTTAAAAAATCTGCAGCTGCCCTTGGTGATAACATTTCTTACTAAATGATTCTGGTTTTAGAGTTGTTCTACCATGGGACATGAGCTGCAGTTAAAACATGTCACCTGCCCTGTGTGCTGTAACGAGCACCATGGCTTTGCCCGGCCCAGGTGTCTGAGCCCTGTCACCATCACCTGGCCCTGCAGAGTGGGAGGCCTTGTCCTGCTCTGGGGATGCTGCTCCTGCTGCCAAATGCTGGTCTGAGACCACGCAGAGGACCCACCCGGCGCCTCGCTTCCAGACCCTGTGGGTCTCTGGTTTGCCAGTCCTGATGCCTCTTGCTGTTTATTTTTGTTTTTCTTTTTTTGAGACAGGGTCTCACTCCGTAGCTCAGGCTGGCCTTGAACTCATTACGCAGCTGAGGCTGGCCTCGAACTCACAGCGATCCTCCTGCATCAGCCTCCCGAGTGCTGGGATTGCAAGTGTGCCCCATCACACACGGCTCTTGACTCCTTTTCTTACCTACCTCTCGTGAATCCTCATTCTCCCGGCTTTCTCCTTTTCTCACGTTTCCTTTCAAGGGTCACCCTTTCTTTTCTCTTTTTTTCCTTTCTCATTTTTTAAATACTGGTATGAATTTCTTCCACTGACAACTAATTCACATGATCTACCACCTAAGTACGTGCAGAGTGACAGAGAGGCCTCGCCGCACGCCCTGCTTCCCACCCTAAGACAGTTGTGGTCACAAGGGACACGCCGCATACAGCCATTCAAGCAAAAACGTCTGCCGTCAATGTCCCAGGCCTTGCTTTTGGTAGGCAACAGCGACCTCGAGATCACTCCTTTCAGCACAGGAGGCCCTCCATGGAGCTGAGTAACGATCCGTCGTATGATAGACAGAAACCTGTTTCACGGCGTGAGCACTTATGTCCAGTCTTTTCCATTACCAAGAAATGCCACAAGCAACTCTGCAAACACCGAATCCTACGTACATTCCAGTATCTCTGAAGGACAAACTAAAAACAACGTGGCGCACAGGCCTGTACGCCTAGCTACTGGGGCGGCGAGGCCAGAGGATGCCTGGGCGACTTAGCACGACTGCAGTCGACTGACCAATAAAATTATCCTGCCAGACGAGGTGGGGCACTTCAGTAATCCTGCTACCCAGCTTGGGAGAGCTTGTTACACACTAAGCTTGTCTATCTCAAAGTACGCTATTCATGTATTTGCAAATTTCCTGTTTCTTGGTCATAGAACTTTTCTGTGGAAGCAAAATTCCACAGAATTTTTAAATAGCAAATGGAAGATAAATGTATGCATAGAGACAGATGCACGGCAAATGGGAATTCTTGTACACTGGGTAACAGCAGGGCAGCTTACCTGGACCTTGGGGCCTCCTCCCGACACCCGTGAGATATAGCTCATGATGTACTTCGCAGCGACGGTCTTCCCAGCACCGCTTTCACCACTGAGGACAGACAGACAGACAGACATGCTGAGCCCAGAAATGTGTCGTGGCTTAAGTCTAGACCTCCCCGCAGCCCTGTGTACCCACAGGTGGGGCTTCTGGGCGGTGATTAGTTTCAGGATGTGCAGTACTGGATTAAGGGTGTGGTGACTGGATTGGTTTAGGGCAGCTCGGGGTGGGGATGGGAAGAGAAGGCCCCCTGGGTGTGAGGGGCGTGCAGCCTGGAAGGAATCGAAAGGGAAAGGGAGACTCACCACATCCTGCCTCTGGCTGCCCTGCGCAGGCTGCTCCCTGCTTGCTGCCCTGCCCTGCCCTGCCCTGCCGCCAGCTGACTGCGGGCTGAAACCTCTACAGACTGAGCTAAGGCAAAACTCTCCTCCCCTAACTTGTGGGTGTCAGGTGTTTCTCTCCAGCAATGAGGAAAGTGCCTAAAACAAGATCCATCACCCTGCTCTTCACCAATCCCCAAAATGAGCAAACAAAACCCGAAGACAGAAATTCGGAGAAAAATGCACAACAGTGGTCGAAAAAAAAGAAACTCAACAGAATGAAGTTGCTTTTAAAAAAAGTACGTAACAGCTACATGGTGCAGTCTTGACAATTACCACTGGGCATGGAATAGGCCCCAGAGCGCTCTAACTGCCCCACAGTGAGGACACTGCGAGGACTATGAAGGAATGCTACAAGGATGAAATCAAGCAGAAATCACAACTGACATCCAGACAGTGAACACGGAGGGGAAAGGGATAGGAAGTGACGCTCAGCAAGATACCCGGTTCACATTCCACATAAAACAAGTTCAGTAGGGGTTTCTTCAATGGGGAAGCGGGTGGCTGGGTGTGGAGGTTTGTGTCTGTAATCCCAGCGTGGGGGGTGGGGGGGCTGAGGCAAGAGGCTCATAAGGATCTGAGTTTGGGTCCAACTTGGGTAACTCAGTAACTCACCAAGACCCTGTCTCAAAATAAAGATTAAAACGATGCTGAGCGTGGGCTCGGTAGCAGAGCACTTGCCCAACGCACAGAAGGCCCTGGTTTGATTCCCAGAACTGCACAAAAGAAGCAATCTAAAGCACATGTGGAGAAAACCAAACAAAAAACCTGGACTACAGTAACAAACATGAGCAGACACCCTGGCCGAGGCAAGAACATCACGAGAGATTTGCTTCGGTTCACTGTTTTCCAAACTTTTTGTGATGATGTATTTTTTTAAATAACAAAAGAAAAAAATGATACGGGAGGCACTCTAAGGCTTCCCACTGTGTGTCCCTGACTGAGGCCAACTTCCTGATTTTAGAGGTTCTAAAATTGAAGGATGAGGCAGCATTAATCACATCCTGGGCGGCCAGGCTGCCTTCCGCTGCATCTGAGCTGCGCAGGGACAGCCCTCTGTCCACAGTCTGCCCTCACAAATACCTGTTCCTTCCTTCAAAATCCCCCTGTATCAATGCTGACCTCAATCCCTAACCAGCTTAACTCTGCCAGATTTCTCATCTTTCTCTTGGAAGCCTTTGAGTTACCAGGACAGAATCAACCAGATTAAAAGAACACGCATCGTAGGGACTGAGCCTGAAAGAGACAGGCTGCTACTCCTCGTTCTTATCTGCTTGCTCTTGGTGACCACGGACTTGGGGTGCAGCGCGGACGCTCCCCTATGAGCATCAGCCTTGCTAACCTTCAGCAATCGCTGAAATACTGGAGGAAAGCAGATAGGTCTGCTTAAGGTACGACCAAGCAGAGCAGCCCACTCTCCTAAGAGAAACTGAAATCAACAGTGAGATAATTTGGTATTTCAAACCAAAACAAAAGAAAAGGAGCTTGTCAAAACACAGAATGTCACTGGATTTTCTCAAACTAATATACGGTAAACTGTCCCCTAGAGATTACGAGGCGGACAGAGGGAACCATGCCTCCTGACTCCATCTACGCAGTTCACTCTAGCCGCAGCTCCCGGCTCCCGGGGTCACATGGAGAGAAAGTCACACTGAAGTCTCTGAAGACATCACGGCAGCAGAAAGCCAGCTCATCGGGATGAAGCGGCATCCTACCCACACACAGACCTGACAGGCGCAAGCACGCTCGGCCAGTCAAGCACACGAGGAATTCTCTTTTCAAATGGTCAAGGTAATAAAGTGACTTACACACCAGACCGGAAGTCAGAGCATACCCTTGGAAGCTCAAGTTCTGTCCACAACGAAACTCCATTTTATGTTTTGTGCCATTGTAAACCTTTAGAAATATTGGACAATCTAAGGTCGTAATGGCACAAGGACCCAACGTACTAGTACACAGACTTCTGAAATGACCAGAAAAGGTCATGCAGCAAAACAAAGACACGGCACAGAAGGTCAAGCGACAAGGTCTCTATAACACCTCTGTGATTATGGAAACTGTAGGGAAAGGAGCTGAATGGAACAGGACAAAATGTGCCTAACTTGTTAGGGGGCCAGGAAGCGGGTGATTCACTTTTCTTTTGGTGTGACTTCTTTTAAAGTCCTTACTATATTTTGAGATTTCAATTAGCCATGTAATTTAGGTTTTTTGTCGTTTTTGTTTTTGAGGCTGGCTCAGCCTGCCCCGGTGGAGGGGCTGGCACAGCATGTGGTGCCAGGGATCAAACCCTGGTCCCTGCGCTTGCCTAAGCAGGCGCTTTAGACCACTGAGTTATCTCCCTGGCCCACATTTTAGATTTTTAAAGAGCTTTTCTAAAGGAAAGTGACCACATTACATCAATAATCAACAATCATCATTTCCATTAGGTTATTTCAACACTTTATATGCTTTCTGTAAACATATTTCCTATAAATTTATATTTCATATTTAGAATCCTTCTGAACAAGCTCTGAGACAAACGAGAGAACAAATCCTGCTAGAATTATGAAACACAAGAGCAGCTACCCACCTGTCTCTCTTAAACAGTATGACCCATCGTGAAATATTCTCTCTTGTTGAAGTAAAGAAAAGCGTAGCAATGGAAACTCTTTTCACATACTAAAATAAGTATGCCAGCACCCAACAGGACATCTATATTCTCAGTAACTGTGTTCTTTTTCAGACTTAAAATAATTAGTTCTGGCTAAACACTACTCTGAATTTGTATTTCCTGGTATGAATTCACATACATTCTATAAGTCTTTATTGATCACAGCTGGTAATTTGGTCCAAATACGTTTCTGCAGGGGAAAATTACCTGAAGCCTGCAGCAGATGCAGCCATAATTATGCTGGCCTACTAGGGACTGGGAAATAATCGGAGTGAAATACAGATTCAAAGACCATGCAGGTGTCAAACCAACCACGCAGCGCTGCCTCTGGGTCTCGGGCAGTCAGAGCATCCAGCCCGCTTATCCTTACAGTCAGCCTTTGCTAATCTGACAGCACTCGCCTGACATGTGCATGGGGGAAAGGGTGGCAAGGAAAAGCCCTGGAAACGGGGGAAAGGCCCCAGTGGCGCTGACCTCACGGCCGCCGGCTCCGCAGCATATCTGAATAATGCCCACGTTTAGGACCTTCTCCAATCTTATGAACCTAGTCCCAGGAGCCGTTTCTAGAACAGACTTTTAACTCTGCAGTTTGTATATAGCTGGCTAGACACCACTCCAGCAACTCAAAATCAAAGTCAAGACAGATTTCACAGGAAATATCAGCTCAAGTAGGAAATAATGTAACATTTGCAAATGTGCTCGCTACAGAAATGGAAGCACGTGTTCAAAATTCAAAGAACTGGGAAAATGTTAGGAGTTTCTTACAGTGGAATCTTAATAACGGGACTCAAGGGATATAACTTTTTCTGAGTCCGAAGCTACTGAGCCTCACTAAGTACCCAGAGTGCCTCCAATTCCCCACAACTTATGCTAGTGCACAAGGACATGCACCCGCCTTCCTGCCGTCGCCACCCCAGAGGACCCACCGCACTCGGGCATGCACACGGGAGCACGCAGCCGCGTCCCCTCTCCCTTCGTGGCTTTGGGCCATTTCTCCCACCGCTGCACTCCCGCGGCTGCGGTCTCCTCGAGCCCCCAGGAGTTGGTGTCATGGAAACGTGGCTTTCCCAGCTTCACACTTTTTTCTCCTGTCCCTTCTTCTGCGGCCTGGTCCCGACAAGCAGCTGGGGGCTGCAGAGCCCCCGCTAGGCGGGGGTCCGGGCAGCTCTGGAGGCTCGGTGCCGGGAGGCTGGGCGCGGGCCCGGCGCGGGGCTCAGGATGGACCACACTTGGCCGAGTGAGTCCTGGCTTGCCCGGGGCTTAGCCGTCTGTGCGGCGCTGCTGGGTGGCGAGCCGAGCCCTGGCGCGCTCTCTTCCGCTGCTGTCCTCAGCGAGCCTCCGCGATGGCGTGCAGGACGGGCGCAGGGAGAGGGAGTGGGGGGTCGGGCGTCGGGCCACAGCGGCAGGCGCAGTCCCCAGGACGGCCTCCCGGGAAGGCTACTCCGCTGCAGAGGAGGATACATATTAAAAACCCTCCTTGGGCCAGGACAGCCAGTGAAAATCCACAGCGCTTCCAGAAGTAACTCCGAGGAGGGCCGGGCTCATCAAACTCGCATCGTGGCCTGGGACGTCAGAGGGACACACTCATTTAGGCGGACTTGTGCCAGTAGTCGTCGTGTCTGAGCTCACACACAGTCGGAACAAGTAACAGCCCGAATCGATGCATCGCACGGCAGATCATTCCGCGAGAATGAGGAACCACGTCCCAGAAAGTGTGGCAGCCCGTGCAGACGACAGGCTCTCTGGCTGCCGCGGAGGGCCCGGGGCTGGCGTGGGACATAGCAGATGCCCCCCAGGGGCTGTCTGCTGAGGCCCTGGGCTGAGGAGAGGGGTGGCCCACTCCTGGAGCGAGGGTTTACCCTAAATAATATACACAACCATGGAGCAAGTACAGCAAGCACCACGCAGAAAAGCTGAAACTACTGAGCAACAGATACAGATTTACTCTTGAACACATTGAGAAAATTGCGGCAAGTGCCTGCTTAGGCAATTGCAGGCACCACCCGCGGAGCCAGCCCCAC